AGAGAGAGAGAGAGAGAGAGAGAGAGAGAGAGAGAGAGAGAGAGAGAGAAAGAGAAAGAAAGAAAGAAAGAAAGAAAGAAAGAAAGAAAATGCTGCCCTTAATGCTTTCCTTCATCTCTCAGGAAGAATACTAGCCACTATCTCTGTCTTTCTTGTTTGTGTACACAGAATGGACAGAGATCTGAAAATGGCCAATGAGGGCTTGGAGGGATGGTTCAGTGGTTAAGGGCACTGGCTACTCTTGCAGAGGCCCTGGGTTCAGTGTCCAGCATGTACATGAGGCTCATGACTATCTGTAGCTCCAGGTCCAAGGAATCTGTCTTCTGGCCTTCACAGACACTGCACACCCATGATGCACTTACATACATGCAAATCAAACACTCATACACATAAAATAAGAATAAATTCAGCTGGGTGTGGTGGTATATGGCACAGGCCTTTTAATCCCAGCACTCAGAATGCAGAGGCAAAGAATCTCTTTGAGTTTTAAGTCAGCCTGGTCTACCAATGCGCTCCAGGCTAGCCAAGGCTACATAATGAGATCCTGTCTTTTGTGTGTGTGTGTGTGTGGTGTTTTGAGACAGGGTTTCTCTGTGTTGTTTTGGTGCCTGTCATGGATCTCGCTCTGTAGACCAGGCTGGCCTCGAACTCACAGAGATCTGCCTGGCTCTGCCTCCTGAGTGCTGGGATTAAAGGTGTATGCCACCACCACCCATTGAGATGCTGTCTTAAAAAAAAATCAAAATACTATTATTACTACTACTAATAGTTAATGGTAATAAGTAAAAAGTTCTAAATAACAATTTTTTTAAGTGGCAAATGATTGGCTTAAGGCGACTGGAAGCCAAGGTCAATGTTTCCCAACCAAAGTCAATGAGACTTCTATGGATCTATGTGAAAATTATTCACTCCATGTTTTCATTTTCTCAGAAACTTTGAAAATTATGGAAAGCACGTGTGGGTCATGTATAAATGACTCTGCCTGCATGTGAGCACCTGACTTGTATTGATGTTTATCCTTTACAGCCTCCACGTCTTGCTTGCTTTCATACCAAGTGAAAGCCACAAGGCCAGTACTAACATATTTCTTGGCAATTTGAATAGACCTGAGCCAGGGAAGAACTGAGTCATCACTGGGCACACAGTAAAACATCGTGCCAAGTTCAAAAGAACCTAGCATTGGGCGGAGTTCATGTTGCAGCCGCAATTTCATTTCAGAAAAACAACACCATTCATCACCTTAAATTGGTGTTAATTTTCAAGTTGCCTTTTGTTTATGTTAGCGGCTACTCCGTTTGGGGTTTTATCACTGTTTAATTGCTCAAGTATTCAGAATTCATAGCTAGCTGATTTTGTACACTTGATAAAAATAGCTTCAGCCAAGTTCATAAAAATGACTGTTCTTCCAAAAGTGATCATCTAGCCATGCCTGCTTTCCTAGGGGCTCCTTACTGCAGGACTAACATGAACCTGGGCCCCAGGAGACTCCAGGGAAACTGTAGTGCTGGAATCCCTAGTGAAGGTCAATGTTCCGTGTGGCCCCCCCATCCCTCACCTCAAGACCAAGCTCAAGGAAGTTGGAACCTGGGGCAGAGTGGAGATTCAGGGAATGCCAAGGCAAATGTAAAGGATAGACTCGGGAATTAAAATGGGGGGATGTATCTCATTTGGAGGGGTACTTGTCTAGAATGCACAATGCCCTGGGTTCAAGTCTAGCACTGTATAAAACCGGGCTGTCCAGGCCAGGCACAGCAGTGTGTCCCTTTAATCATGGGAAGAGGTGAGTGGAGTTCCAGAACAGCCAGGTAGCCGGGGGTGATACAGTGAGACACCTCCCCCAACCCCCCCAA